TGGGAATGGGGATTAGTGGAGAAGGCCTTTATGGACAAGTAGAAAATAGTGGGCTTTATCTTTTAAACCACCTAGTCAATGGAGAATTTTGGACAGAGGAATAATGGGATAGAAGTGGTGTCTAAAAAATATGGATTTGGGTACAATATAACTTGAAGGATATCTGGGAAAGAGGCTAGTTCAGAATATTTTTTTCAGTAATCTGTCTGAGAACATGAAATACTATTGGTGTGTTGGATGAGCTCAACAAGGAGAGAAATAAGAGACTTTATTTTTCTTCATCTATTGTATTCAAGCATACTCTGTCCAATCCTCTCCCCTTACCCTTGGATGAAATCTGGGCAAGATCTCATAGCTTTCTTGTCCTTTTGCCTCATTGGACAAGAGTCCCATTCTACTGTCCAGTCTTAAACAGTTCAGTCCAGTCTTAACAAAAACTTCAGCTCCATATCCAGTTCTGAGGTTCTCTCCTTCCCCCCAGCTCAGGTTTGACCTATCATCTAAGGTAGGGGTGCAGTCTTTCCCTTTTCTATTCCTTTCTTTTTTTCTCTTTTTCCTACCTCCTGCTACTGGCTCCTCCAGGATTAGAGCATGGGAAAGAAGGGGTTAGAATGAAAGGGAGAAAGAGATTTTTACCTACTTCATGTTATTTGTAGGTGTCTTCTGGCTGTTAATGACTTGTGTGGCAGACCTCCAAATTCTGGCTCATCTGTGGGGTGCTGTGTGGTCTGTTGTGTGTTCCATGTGGACTCTGAATTGTGTGGCAAGAAATTTCTTCTATGGTTGTCTTCTTCCAACCCTCCCTCTACCATCTTCTGCCCTGCATATCCTTCCGCATCAAGATGGTGCAAGCCTGGCTACCTTCAAGTGTTCACTGAACCCATGGGAAAGGCAGGGGTCCTTGCCATTCCAAATTCAGGCTGCTTCTGATGTTCTTTTCCTCTCTCCTGTCAGCATCTCTATCTTTTATATTCTCCAGCGGGAGGCAGACACCAGACTCTATATTCACAAATACCCCTAAACTCTAGTGCATCCATGTCAAACACTCCAGAGTACAATTACACCGTATTCTTCTCCAGGGAAGTAAGAATTCCTGCAACTTAGCAAACCTCCAGCTGGGGAGTGAAATATTGTAATGGGGGGACTTCATATGTTGAAGTCTTAGCCCTAGTACTTCAGAATGTGACTGTACTTAGAGATAGAATTTTTAATGAGGTAATTAAGATGAAACAAAGTCCTTGAGGTGGGCTCTAATCCAATGTGACTGGTGTTCTTGTAAGAAGGGAAGATTAAGACACAGACACACAGAGGGAAGATACATGGAGAAAAGATACATGGAGAAAAAGGCCAAGGAGAGAGGCCTCAGAAAGAACCAACCCTACTGACAGCTTGATTATGAGCCACCCAGTTTGATCCACCCAGTCTGTGATATTTGTTATGGCAATCCTAGCACACTAATATAGGTACCCATTTTCATTTTGTTCCCCCACTTCTATAAATTGGGATGTGTCAGGCCATTTCTTGGTTATCTCTTCAGATGCCTCTTGTCTTAAACTTTGGGCCTTCCCTTGAAGATCTGAGACCACAGGAGACATTCTACTCCAAGCTTACTTTAGAAGGTCTGGATGAAGATGGTAGAACAGATGCTGTGATGTACTCTGCATATGCCCTCAGCCCACCTGATTTTAGGGTAGCTGCCCCATGTACCATTGCCAGGGTCCTTCACCAAGATTGTGCCAAGGGTTTTCTCTGAGTTGTTTTCTCCAAAGCTACAGAAGGTTGCTGAAACTTGGCCAGGGGCAATTCAGACTTTCAGGAGAGTAAGCACCCATGGAGGCAGTCTTTACCTTCAAGGTGAATAATACCTCTGCTTCCCATTACCTGGTGTGACAACTCTGAAGAATGTTCTGCAGTTTCCCAGAGGATCCCCAGAGAGACTGAGCCACAGCTGCCCACCATGTTATCCAGTTAACACACCATGTACTGACTTTCCTCCATCACCATCTACTTTTCCCTTACTTCTGTTTTTGAGGATTAACTCCTGGCTGTGCACCAAGTCCTTGTCTTAGGGTTTGCTTCTTGGGGAGACCAAATTATGACAAGTTGTGCCTTGGGCTGTGAGATTGAATTAGTGTCTACTTCTGAGGTTTTCCTGGTTCTATGTAGACTGTTGCTTATTGATTTTTCTCTTCATCAAAGGGAAAAGAATTTGAAAAGGAATAGATACATGTATATGTATAACTAAATCACTTTGCTGTACACCTGAAACTAACACAACACTGTTAATTAACTATACTCCAATATAAAATTAAAACAAAAAAATAAAAAAAAACAAAAAAGTATGTGTAAATGACACAAAGCTAAGTAAGATGCTGCCACTACATTCAAAGCATTTATAAATTGAGAAGATTATATAATCCATAGAAGCTTATTGTCACAGATATACTGCAAAGTTCTTTGAGATGCTTCCATAACTCTTGAAATCTTAGGAAGAAGGAAGAATGACGAGGGCACCATGGGGTGTTGTGAGCAGCGGTATTGTAGGTAATTCAACATAACCATCTCCATGGCACTTCTGACACTGCAAACATGTAACACCTTTCAGTTGCGTTCCTTATGCTATTTTCACCATATTCTGAATTTGACCAGCTCGTCTAATGAACTATTTGCATTCCAGCTAGGATCTCTGAGGCAATGTCCATTTAGTGGTCACTGCATTGGGGAGAACCTTATGATTTCTTTGCTTTGAAAATGAGACTGTTTCATCTGCATGAGAGCCATCTCAGGGAGAGTACAAAGTTGTTGGCTAATATGTTGAGGGTGGTGGATGATTAAGAATAAAGTGTTCAAATTCTGATCGTGCCACTCACTAGTTTGGTGGTCATGGGCTGCTTACTTAACTGCCTTCCACTTCCACTTCCTCTTCTGTGAAATAGAACAAAATATTAGCACCTGCTGATTAAAGGTGTTAAATGGATCAAATGAGGCAATACATTTAAAGTTGTTAGTAGGATGCCTAGAATGTGAATGATGGCCCAAGAAATATTAGTAATAACGGGGATGATACTGCTGCAGCAAAGAAATGTAGCTTTTTCTATGTGGTCCCAGAAGCAGAGACAGGACTGGTACTAGGCCTGAATAGACCCACCTGAGGATGGAGTATTTCCTGTGTGGTGACCCCTAGCAGAGGCTGGGTGATGAGTTCTCTCTCTTAGCCAGGATATTAGAAGTGTTTCAAGGAAGGAGTGGAAAGAGAAGACACTTAGGATGACCGCCAGCCCCAGGGTCTACCCCTTACTTTACTCCACAGATGCAGGGAGGCTTCAGGTGAAGGCACAGATATGAGACAGGAGTTTTGAAAAATCCACAATATTCTGTTGAAGTCTGAAGGCAAAAGTGTAGCACTTGTGTGAATGGCACCAAGAACTTGTGCATCTCTGTACTGGGGTATGGTGGAGCTGACTGGAGGAGGACAGCTCCAAACAGAGGCTGTAACCTGAAATTGAAAGGTTCCCTGGTCTGGCCCTGAGCTTGGTCATTGTTCAGCTGTGAGCATCCTGGGTATAGGGGTCCCCAGTCTGTGCTCATCTGTCCTTTATCTTTACACCACACTGCCTATATCTATGTGTATATTTGTTTTATTCTTTCAACTCAGATACTCACATTTATGTCTGTTTCTATTTCTGACACAACAGTGGGCAGGATTTTCTTTTGAATGTCGATTGCTTTAAGATAATTTTTCTTTGTTTGTATTTATGTGTGTATTTTTCTCTTTTACGTTCCTGTTATTCAAGTTGAAAAAATGAGATAAAACTAAGCATTTATTTGAATTTCAGCTTCAGGTTATGTTCCTTTTGATTGTGAGCCTATCTTGAAATTCCAATTTGGATGGCATTTGTTTCATGACTTAAAATAATTCAGGATTCTTTTAGTTGAAAATGTGAAATCAATGGCTTTTTGATGAATAGAGGTTTTACATTTGAATAATAAATAGGCTGTTCTTTGTTTTCATAAATAGCTGGAGAAAAGCATAAACCCCAGTTATCTCCTGTCATTAAACTCATCCTGGAGATGTGTGGAGTCTACTCTAGAAATACTTACAAAAATTAGTTCATAAATGTAGATTATCCAAAGAGAAAATATTAAGCATTAAATATAGAGACTTTGAATAAGTTATTTGTTCTATATGAATACCAAAGAAGCTCACAAGGGAAGCATGAAATAGAGTACAGCATACAGTAATTACCAAATATAAGACACTTCAATAAAGACTTTAGTATTTATGTGCATCTCAGATTGATTTACCAGTTACCACATGGTCGGTGTTCTTCCAGTGGTCATAATGGATGATTTATATTAAGCATAATGAGTAACACATCCTTTCTGATTGTTACCTTGTTGAGGTAGGGAAATACACTGCAATCAAATCATCACCATTGCTTTAGTAGTTATAAAATTAGTGTATTTGGTTACAGTGTTATACGCATGCATGGTATCTGGTTGTCTTATTAATTTGGGGTCTGTATTAGCTTAAAAAATATATCTCACACAAATAGAGTTCTTATGAGATTCTGCTTGATTTTTATTTGGAGGAACTATTTGATCCTCTTGGGGGAGGACTTTTATTTCTGCAGTTTTCTTCCAGGAACAGCTTCTGGTTCATTCATTTTAGTAGGGTATGTATAACTTAATGTTTTTTAAAGGTCTGCCCTTTTGGTGGAGCACAGGAAAATAGAATTTGGGGAACAAATTATATAATTCATATGAGTTCAATGGAGAAACTATGTAAAGAAAAGAAACATCAAATATAAATTCTGATACCCAAGCACAATCATTACTATACCAGTAGAGGTGTTTTTATTTTAAACCACTTTTTTGGGGGTGGTATAAGTATGCATGGTTTTTCTGTATATGTATTAGGTATCCTGTTTATAGTGAGAATTTTCTTGTTATTAAATATCATTTTAAGCATTAATTTTGAATTAACTATTTATCCACAGAGAAAAAGAGAATTCCACGTACCCTTCATCCAGTTTCTGCCAATGGTTACATCTTGCATAACTACAGTGCAATGGCAATATCAGGAAATTGACATCGGTACAATGTGCGTATGTCATTTTATCCCATGCTACAGATTTGTGTAACCACCATCACAATTAAGATACAAAACTATTCCATCACAATAAATATCTCATGCATGCTACCCCTTTATAGTTACACCTGTCTCTCTGTCCCGCACCATTCCTTACCCCCGCTAAACACTAGTTTTTCTTCATCTCTATTATATTGTCATTTTGAGAATGCTATATGAATGCAATCATCTAGTATGTGACCTTTTGAGATTGGCTTTTTTTCTTACTGGGCAGAATCCTCTTAAGATCCATTCAAATTGTTGCATGTTTCAAGTTCAGTCTTTTTAGTGCTGAGTGGTATTCCATGGTGTGGAAGTATCACTGTTTGTTTAACCATTCACCTGTTGAAGTACATCTGAGGAGTTTCTGGCCGTTTGCTATTATAAATAAAGCTGCTATGAACAATCATGTCTAGGTTTTTCTGTGGTCCTAAGTTTTCATTTCTCTGGGATAAATTCTCAGGAGTGTGATTGTTGGGTCATATGATAAATATAGGTTTAGTTTAATTTTGTTTTTTTAAAGAAGCTACCACATTATTTTTAAGAAACTGATGAGTCTAAGAAACTGCCAAATCATATGGTGTAAAAGTGGATGTACCAGTTTGTACTTCCACCAGCAAGGTATTAGAGATACAGTTTTTCCACAAACTCATAAACATTTGGTAATGTCACTATTTTTTATTTGAGCTCTTCTGATAAGGGTGTAGGGATATCTCTTCATAATCTTTTAAAGATTTTTTAAAATATGATTTTTAGTAGTTGGGGTTATCTTCCACCAGCATATATTTGAGATAAATGGTTTTCTGTACCCTCGTAACCAATAACCATTGTTGCCTGTTGAATGATTTTTCCTCAACAATTCCATTCTCTCTGTACTATTGAGTTATTACCTGGCCAGAGAAAATAATCTACAGGTTGTCTTTTTCTTTACATAAAGTATTCATATCTTGCCTTTGTGTTACCTACTCTGTCATAGACTTTCAGGGAGAGAGAGAGAGAGAGAGAGAAAGTGGGAGAGAGAGAGAGAGAGAGAGAGAGAGAGAGAGAGAGAGAGAGAGAGAGAGAGAGAGAGAGAGAACGCGGGAGAGAGAGAGCGGGAGAGAGAGAGAGATGAGAGAATCAGAGTGTATCCTGGTTTAAAAAGAATACATCTGATGCTGTTGCTCAGATCCAGGCTGTGTGTTTAATTATGTTGATTTTTGCCTGGCGTATATCATCTGGGGGCATTTTAAGTCACAGTTATCTGATCAACATAAACGTTCTTCACTGCCGTGCACAATGAATTCTTGTATTCATTTATCAGAACATGGCTGAGGAGTCGCCTTTGCCCTTCCAGAGAACACAGCTCATTGTCTGAACTTCCTTTCATTGACAACTGGGGAGGGCTTCAGAGAGGAGGAATACGAAGGCAGGGATACATGAGGAGGTAGGTTTATGTAGGTGATTAATGCAGTTTCATAAAAAAAGAGTTTTGCTAAGGGAACAAAATGCTACTGCGTTCGTGGGAAGCCAAGATTGAGGAGCTCTCCTTAATACATTAGGGCAAGAGCAGGTCGATGGATACAATTGCCAAACTCCCTTCCTAGGAAGAAGCAAGTCCCCCGAACCAAAAGCTAATGGCATGACAGTCAATTTAAAAATGGACGTTAGACCCGAAGCAAATGTGATGCCCATTAAACTGTACAGGTTGCAAAAGTGGAGCCCATAATTAGAGCATTAGTCAGCTGGCTGTGACACCACGGGGTCCAGGGAAGATGGATTCACCAGCCTGATGCTGAACTTTCTGGCTGAGTTGAGCAGGTTCACCTCTTGTTGCTGTCGCCACAGATAATCCTCCTGGGACATGAGGTCTTAATGTATAAGTTCACCAAAGCTAGATTTGAGACAATAACTCCATAAATCTCTGGGAGATGTTTTTTTCTAATTGGCTACTTAATAACAACATTTATTGATGATGAGCTGAATTTTTAGAAATCAATTGCTAATTAGTGACACAGACAAGAAAACGATATAAGCAATGCCCAGGTTGCAGGAAAAGCTATGAAAAAAGGTAAAAGCTGGTGGATAAAGAAACAACTAAAAGGCAAACAAGACCTGAATGAAAGGCAAGCCAGCTATAGAAAAACTCCTTAGGCTTGAAAATAGGAGGCCTAGCAACTAGTTCTAATGTCAGCATGAAATGTGAGAGCCTATCCAGCTGTTTTTACCTTCTTCATGTTTGTTATGTGGACAAAACCAAGTGAACTGGAGAGTCTGATGTGGGTTCATTCTTCTTTTTTTAAGGTAGACTTTATTTTTTAGAACAGTTCTGGGCTCACTGTAAAATTGAGTGAGAGGTACAGAGATTTTCCATATATTCCCAGCCTCCACATATGCACAGCCTCCCTTACTGTCAAAATCCCAAACCAGAGTGGTGTATTTTTCACAATGGATGAACCACATTGATATGTCATTGCAATCCTAAGTCCATGGTTTACATTAGGGTTCACTCTTGTTTTAGTACATTCTATGGGTTTTGACAAAGTATAAATGATATACCTCCACCTTTCTAATACACAGACTAGTTTCACTGCTCTGAAAAACTTCTGTGCTCCACCTCTTCATCCCTCCTTTCCCCCAACCCCTAGTAAACAATGATCCTTTTACCGTCTCCACAGTTTTCACTGTCTAGAATGTCATGCAGTTAAACAGTACGTAGCTTTTTCACTTAGAAATATGCATTTAATTTTCCTGCATGTCTATTCATGGCTCTATTTAGCGTTGAATAATATTCCATTGTCTGGATGTACCACAGTTTATCCATTCACCTATTGAAGTACATCTTGGTTGCGTCCAGGTTTTGGCAATTATGAATAAAGCTGCTCTAAACATCTACGTGCAGGTTTCTGTGTGAATGAAAGTTTTCAGCTCATTTGGGTAAATACCAAGGAATGCAATCATGGTGCCAGTGGAGTCAGTGTGTGATGAGAGCCTGCTTCCCAGATGGCCATGTTTTAGCTGAAACGTCACATGGCAGAAGTGGGTAAGGGAGCTTTCACAGGTCCATATAAGGGTACTGATATCATTCATAAGGGCTCTGCCCTTATGATCTAAGCACCTCCAAACACCATCACATTGGGATTAGTTTTCAACATATGAATTTGGGGGCCACAAACATTCAGACTACAGCAGATCTTAATTTGGGGAAATTCTCAGTCATCATTGCTTCAAATATTTCTTCTGTTCCTCATTCTCTTCTCCTTCTAGTATTCCCATTAAGGGTATGATATACATTTTGTAGTGGTCCCACAGTTCTTAAATATTCTGTTTCATTTTTTTCCTGTCTTTTACTTCTTTGCTTTTTTGTTTTGAAAGTTTCTACTGACATACCCTTAAGCTCAGAGATTTCTTCCTCAGCTGTGTACAGTCTACTAATAGGCCCATGGAAGGCATTCTTGATTTCTGTTACAATGTATGTTGACCTTTAGCATTTATTTTTAATTCTTTCTTAGAATTTCCATCTCTCTGCTTACATTGCCCATCTGTTCTGGTAGGCCGTAAGTTTTATCCATTAGAACTCTTAGCATATTAACCATAGCTGTTTTACATTTCTGGCTGGATAATTCCAATATCCCTGTCATATCTGAGTCTGGTTCTGATGCTTGCTTTTTCTCTTCGTACTGTGTGTTTAGTCTTATAATTTTTTCTTGATAGCCAGACGCCATGGTCTGAGTTAAATAAACTGGTGTAAATAGACCTTTAGTAATACGGTGGGAAGGTGTGTGTATGGGGTGGGAAATGTTCTATTGTGCTATGATTTAGTCTTTTTATGAGCTTGTGCTTCTGGACTGTGAACTTCATAAGGGTTCTCAGTCTCCCACTTAGGTGGGATAAAATGGCTGCAGTTGGGTGTTTTCCTTCCTCCCCCATCTGAAAGTCTGGAGAAGGATGGAGTTGGGTATTTCTCTTCCTCATGTTGATTAGGTTTTCAAAAAATCCCAGGAGTTTACTTTCTGGTAAGATAGTTTCTCTTGATGGCTGGTCTTATTAAGAGCAGAGTGCTCTGGCATATTTCAAAATTGTTACTTTTCTCCTCACCCCAATGAAAGCAGGAGGAGATTTTTCTCCTATATTCATTATTCTCCTATATTTGCTCACTGCTCACTCTTTTTATTCTATATTCTCTGTGAGAACCAGAAGATTCTCACAGAGCTCCTGGAGGTAAAACTCATAAAAGTGTGGGAGCTTCCTCTTACTAGGTCCTCCTGGAGTTTTTAACTCAGACTTGTCCACACTGAGCTTCCAGCAATTCATCAATACAGTTTATGTTTTCCTACCCTGGCCCTGGTTCCTGTGAAGGTGTCTGCTCATGGATTGCTGCTCCAGTAAGTAGCGATTTTCTGCATTCATCTATTATTTTCTCCAGTTGTAGAGACAATAGTTTGCCCTGTGACCTCACTTCTCCCACAGATCTGAGAAGACTTGTTGATTTTTCAGCTTGTTCAGATTTTTGCTTGTTAGGACACAGTGACAATTTCCAAGGCCCTTATGTGCTGGACCGAGAATTGGAAGTTGGTTCATCCTTTAAACAATTAATAGTCTTTATCTTTTAGAGTGGTTTTAAGTTTAAAAATTGAGCATATAGTACAGAGTTCCCATATACTTCCTCTCTCTGTCTCAATTTCCCCTATTATTAACATCTTGTAAGTGTGTGGTACCTTTGTTACAATTGATAAATCAACATTGATACATTATTATTAATTGAGGACCCATAGTGTACATTAGAGTTCATTCTGTGTTGTGTAGTTTTGTGGGTTTAGTCAAATGAATAATGACACATATCCATCATACAATAGCATATAGAATTGTTTTCATTGAGCTGAAAATTCCCCCTACTTTCTTTTTCCCTCCTTCTTCCCATCCCCTGGCAACTACTGAACTTTTTATTATCTTCATAGTTTTACCTTTTCCAGAATATCCTATAGTTGAAATCATATAATATAAAGCCTTTTCAGACTGGTTCTTTTATTTAGCAAAACACATATAAGATTCCCCTGTGTCTTTTTGTAGCTTGATATGTCAATTTTTATGATTAATTAATTTGACCACTCATTATTAGATGCATACTTGGGTCTGGTACCAGCTGGGACCAGAAACACAAGCACAAATAAGAAACAGCTGTGGTCATATGAAGTTTACATGGAAACTGGCAGAGAGACAGATCACTGGACAGTGACACTGCCAGGAAGATAGGAAGAAGTGAGGTACAAGTTGAAAACAGTGAGTGGCATCAGGTGATGTTTAAGAGAAGAGAACAGGATCCTCTAGGAGTGTAGTCAAGGAGACAAGGTTTGAACATAAGCTGAACCAGTTTCCCATTTTGTAAGCCAGAAAGGGGAAAGAAAGTATGGGAAAAAACCCATCAGTGGAGAAATTAATGCATTAGAGTGAGAAAGTGAAACAGAAGACAATAAAGAAGAATTTATTTTTAGTTGTAGTGGTTCTGAATGAATACTTGTATGAGCATTTTATATTATTTCTTCTCATAACATGGAATAATATTTCTGGTGCCTGGAACAAAATTAGTTCCTTTCCCCTGAATAACCTGAATTTAGATATGAGTCTTTTTCCACTGGAAATTGTAGCATTTTAAAACTGGAAGGAACTTTGATGGAAATATAGCCGAACTCATCCATTTTGCAAATAAGGAGACTAATGGCTAAAAATTAAGTGATTTTCCAAGTTATTTAGGGGATGGAAGCATGGGGCTAGAAAATAGGTGTCCTAATTCTGATTCTAATAGTCCTAAGCCCCCTTCTTTCTAAAGGCATGGAAAGATATGAATACATCTGTTCAATAGTAGGTTCTAAAACATTGGTACAAAGAAGAGAGAGTGACAGGTGAAACTGTTTCTTATGCAAATAAGAGATGAGTCTCGACATTTCTAATATTCCAGATATGGCTGAAATAAAGAACTATGAATAAAAGGGGAAAATCATAGTTGAAGTGGGAAGAGAAGAAAGAAATGGAAACCAGATAAGAAAGGAGCAGTGGGGAGGGAAGAAGA